TATTTTGTCAGTCGCCCTGTTCTGCTCCCCACTCTGTCTCTGGTGAAGCCTCTCACTGCCTCTGGCCTTACCCCAGTTCTGTATGCATACATAAATAAATCTTTTTTTTTTTTTTTAACAAAGGGATGGTAATTAAAAGGGAGGGAGGAACAGCAAAACTTGGTGTGTGGGTCAGGGAACCTGGGTATGTGTCCAGCAAACGACTGATGCGTGCTCGTGCCCTTCACAAATTCCTTTCTGTCCTACTTGGCTTTGGTAGTTCACTGTGTGTGTTATTACCTCACATTAGCTAGTGCAAGAGTGCCTTTCCTCTGTATGCCTTAGACTTTGCCACAGAGCTAGCTAGGCATGGGATTTTGCATTCAGCAGAATGTTGATTTTCTTTAAATAAAACTACCATTGAAATAAAATAGGAAAATAGAAAAGAACCACACTAAAGGAAAATAGAGAGGTACCCGATTATCTGTGCAAGTAGGAGAGTTTCCTAGTGTCCCAATTTGATATGATCCCTTCCTGTGTTTTGTCTTGGCAGTTTGTGTCACTGATGTATTTCTCCCTACTTCCTGAGTGTAGACAGTATTTCTCTAAGTCCAGGGCTCAGTTTTGTAGTAATAGCAAACTTTTGAAGCATTTTTAAGCATCACTAGACACTGCTCAGGGCTTTATACGAGTTGTTTAATGACTAAAGCTTTGTGGTTTGCGGTATTATTTTAACCCCTCTTGGTGAGTGCAGTTTGTGGATGAGGAATCAGAGCTCAGAGGAGTTGACTGACTTGCCCAGGGTCTTTCAAGTTACAAGTGGCAGAAAGAGGTTTCCAACGGATGTCTTCTGATTTCAGAGCCTGTTGTCTTTATCATTACCTGCTCTCCGACTTGGCTAAGGAGATTGTAAACAAAGGTACTTGTTACATATGGTTTTCATGGAGATGCTTTGGAAAGGTATCTGGATTTTGCCCACTTTTTTTTTAATGTAAATTTTTATTCGTGACTACCTGTTTTTTTTTTTGTTTGTGTAGAAGAGCTGGGGTGTGAGGGGGTTCACCAGAGATAGTGGGGAGCAGATCAGACAGATCAACTGAAGTACACTGCTGAGGGGAGCAGCGGAGAGACAGGAGAGGTCTGCTGTGCCATGAGGGTCACCTCCTTGCAGCAGTGACAGTGCTGGAACTTAACCCATAGGCCACCAGGCAGGTTCACTTCTTGCCAGGGTTTAGTGTTAGCAAAGTTTTGAATCCTGAAAAGACCTGAATGTTTCTAAAACAGGAATATTCTGAATAGTACCCAGAATTCTCATGTTCAGCAACATTTTCTGTCTTTGCCTTCTCTCCACGTAGAAAGATGACCCAATTCTTTGGCCAGAGCGCCACTGAAGGCTAGATGAAGGCCAGGAGGTGAGGACCTACAGAATAGCAAATTGAAGAACAAGACTGGTAAAGCAGTCTATGTTCTAGTCTTGCTCTCAAACTCAGGAGGTTCATTATAACTAGGTGTGGCGACTTGGCTTCTTTTATTGATTTTGTAGCCCAAGGAAAGTCAAGATTAGAATACTAACTTTAAAGAGAGCAGACTCTTATAAGTAAGTGTTCATTAATTTTGACTCTGTTTTCAAGAAACCAAACCACGGAGTGCTGGCAAATAGTTTCTCTGAAATTCTAACCCCTTTGTCTTTACATCTCCTTTTTGAATGTACTTCTGCTTCCATTTCATTTTCTTTCTTTCTTTTTTAATAAAAGATTTAGTTATTCATTTGTACAGAACTAGGGTACAGGCCAAAGGTAGAGAGGGTGAGAGGATTCACCAGAGACAGAGTGAGGAGCAGAATAGGCGATGCACTGAAATCACTGCTGAGGGGAGCAGCGGGGAGACAGGGGAGGTCTGCTGTGCCCTGTGGGTCAGCTCGCTGGCCGGGGATCGAACTCGTGCTGCAGTGGCTGAGATAGTTTCACAGTGATATGCTTTAACTGGCTGCGCCACCAGGGAGGGCCTCATTTTATTTTCATCAACCAGCTGTGATTCCTGGTTTTGTCCCTGTGTGTGAAAGATGAGTAGTAGCAAGATTAAATTCTGGGTAGAAGTTGAATTCTGACATTTAGTTGAAAAAGATATGAGAGTAAGAACTTCTTGGAATCCCATAAATTTGTGTGTTTTCCCAAAAGTGGTTGATATATGTTGGGGAGAGTCCTTTCTGTAGAGTTCCTGTTTCAAATTTAGGCCCTATTTACGTGCGTCTTGGGAGGTTTATCCCTTAAGCTTCAGGGACTTTAATTTTGTTTGTTGAAAACTAAATGAAAATAGGTTTTATTTTCTCTAAAACTTGACAGGTCTTAAAAATGAAAGGATTTTGGCTTCTTACTTTTGAGTTAAAAGAATAAAATCTAGAGTCACTGATTTCTTATTTAGGTGGAAACATGTAAGCTCCTAGGTTTTATTTTGGCCAATTGGCAGTTCACCCACCCCTTTCTAATATATATCATTGTCATTTCTTAAAATGTGTAGTGACCATGAAAAGCTGCACACAGTGACACACCAGTGGCATTGTCACATCATAATATTTATTTCCCTGGTTTAAATCATCAGCAGCCTGGTAAGTTCACTGCTTTGTGACACCAGTGTTCTTTATTCAGATGAAAGGAACTACAGCTGTTTGGCCCAGAAAAGCAACAACTTGGAGGGATATGGGAATTGTCCTCAAACAATTGAAGCATTGTCATGTTACAAAAGGGATTTGGCTCCTTTTCTGTAGTTCCTGTGGGTTGAACCTGTGTAGAATTTACAGGAAGACAGGTGTCAAGGGCCTTCGTGGTGGCACAGGGTTTTAGTCTTAGCACTATGAAGCTATTAGCAGTGTAAGTTTGACCCCTGGCCAGGGAGCTGACCCACATGGCGCAGCAGACCTCTCCTGTCTCCCCGCTGCTCCCCTCAGCAATGTATTTCAGTCAGTCGGCCTGTTCTGCTCCCCATTCTGTCTCTGGTGAATCCTCTCACCGCCTGCACCCCACCAATTTTTGTATGCATAAGCAAGTAAATCTTAAAGAAAAGACAGGTTTCAGTTTAGTTTAAGGAAAAACTGACCTGCCACTCAGATCTGCCCAGAAAGGGTGGTGGTGCCTGGGCGGGAAGGCAGCGATTTGGCGTGGAGTTTGTAAATGAAGTTTGGGTGGAAATCTCCTGTGTGTGTGACACATTCGGAAGCTGGATGGAGAATCAGAGTGGGTGGACTGTAAGAACCCAGCCCACTCTGAATTATTTACCAGTAAGTCCTAGGGGAAGAAAGCACACGGCTAATGATGGGTAGAAGGGAAAGTCACCAGCTAGTCGAGGGCAAGAAAGAGGGAAATGGAAGTTCCAGCCACTCCCATCAGAGTCCTCCGTAGCCGATGTTTTCTCTCCCTGGGACATTCAAAAAACTGTTGGCTCTTGTTTCACAAGCAGTCTTTTTGTAGAACTTGAGGAATTTTTGGCGTGGTCACAGAGACTTAGTGATGATGTTTCTGGAATAGGCCTCTAGCTGGAGAGTTAGCATCGAGCGCTGCTAAATCGGAAGTGCCAGGTTGTGGGTTTTAGGTGTGAGCAACACCTTCTGTCAGTTGACTTGCTTGTCTTTCGAGTAAATTTCACAATTCTCTTTTATCACATTGAACTAAACCTCAGCAACAGTAGGATTTAGGCTGAGACTGTTCTGAAGGTTTGGATTGATTTTTCTCAGTTTCCATCACTGTCTTTGTTGAAGAAAATGTCTCATGAATGTGCTCAGCACTGGAATGTGACGCGAGAACAAAACCCAACCGGATACACCCTTCTCCTCCGCCACACTCCTGGCTTTCTGGGGCCCCCTCTGGTGAAGTGAGTGAGAGGGTGGATTTTTAATGGACTTGATCCTCCACTCATTGATCACCTTGGCCAGTGACCCAGCTTGTGGGCCTCAGTGTCTTCCCCTGGAAAAGAAGTCATAATTTTCACAGGACTCAGGCATGTGCATGTGATTTAATACACATGAGAAACAAGAGCTCAGTAAGTAGCGTGCACTTTATTTCTGTGCTGGCGGTAGAGGCTTATTTTATTATTTTGTTCTTAGGGTGAGCGGACACTGAGTGGATGTGCTGGTTGTGCGGGACACACCCCTCGTTCGATGGGGTTCTGCGAGTAGCACATGCCCAGTCCACAGTTCCTCAAAGGAAAGAAACCTACAGAGAAAAGCAAAAGGGGTTTAGAGGAGTAAGGCAGACTCCGCCATCACTTTTCCTTTCTCCTCTCCTTTCTGAAGAGAGGTTCTGGTAGAAGTATATCGACTTGGGGTTTCGAGCCACATATAAAGCAGTGGAGGTCCTTGTGGGGAGAGAGAAAGACTGAAGACCGACTCTTACGTGGCACACCTGGGAGCTGGCAGGGAGTGAGGCAGAGTGGGCTTTGTGTGCCCGCCGCAGAGTACGAGGAGCAGGAAGCTGGGGATCCTGTTCTTCTAGTCTCGTGTTCTCCATTCTTGATCTGTGCCTCCGGGCGTAGGACTTGCCCGCTGCAGACTAGACCTGATATCTGAGGCTCTCTGGAAACCTCAGTTTCTGTCTGAATCTGTGTGGAAGAAGAGCAGCAGGTGTGTTGAGGTGGTGTACCATCCCTGAAACAGGAATTTCACCAAAGAACAGTGTTACAGAAATACAGGTGGACGTGAGCTGGGAAAAAGATGGGGTACAGGAGGCCAGTTTGTCCTGATTAGATGGAAATGTCGGTACTGTGAGATTCAGCGTGGACCCACCGTGTACTAAGAACTATTCTAGGTCCCTTTGCTGCCTGCTGATAACATCAATGGCAATAAAATAGCCTGAGACACTAGGGAGACTGTAGTCCTGTCCTTTTATCAATGGCCTATAAAACTTAAGGAGGATTCCTCAATTCAGGATTAAAGGGTTGAAGGGAATTTTGATTTGTTTTGCTAAATCAAAACACTTTAAAAATTTATTGCACTTCTCACTTGAAATGTTCTTTTTTTTTTTTTTTTGTAGATTGATTCTGTCATTATGGATGGAGGGGATGATGGTAACCTTGTTATCAAAAAGAGGTTCGTGTCTGAGGCAGAACTAGATGAACGGCGCAAGAAGAGACAAGAAGAATGGGAGAAAGTTCGAAAACCGGAAGATCCAGAAGGTGGGTAGGCTTTCAGCTTAGTGATTTTTTTAAAAGATTTACTTGTTTATGCATACAAGAACTGGGGTACAGGCCAGAGGTGTAGGGGGTGAGAGGATTCACCAGAGACAGAGCGGGGAGCAGAACAAGCAGATCCACTGAAATCCACTGCTGAGGGAGTAGTGGGGAGACCTGCTGCCACGCCCTGTGGGTCACTCCCTGGCCTGGAGATCGAACTCAGGCTGCAGTGACTGCAGACAGCCTCATGGTGCTGCACTTTAACCTGTCATGCCGCCAGGGAGGGCCCTCAACTTAATGATCTTTAATCCTCACAGCCATCCTGTAAAGTAGATGGCAACATCCTCATGCTTGAGCGGAGAAACTAAGCCTGGGAGGGACGAGGGTCCTACATAAGGCCTCCTTGTGGGGAACAGGACTAGGGCACTCACACCCCGTCCGTTCCACACATTGTCATCCGGGACACGTGGCTCATCTGACGGCTGCAGCATCTGAACAACTGAAAGCCACCACAGTGTGCTTTGGGCTGGCCTGGGTCCAGTTACCTGTGTGAGGCATGGCCTGTCAATGTTGACAGTTGACTTTTGAGAGTTACCAGCCCTTCTGGTGTCCAGAGGAAAGCTGAGGACTTTGTACTATTTTTGTATTGTCCTTGCCTCGGATCGTGCTGAGACTTGACTTTATTATTTAGACCTTTGTGATCCTAAAATAATGTGAATGAATTCTAAAATCTGTATCTTTCCTCCTCCCCCCACCCCTCTTCTCTCCCACTTCTTCTTTTCAGAATGCCCAGAGGAGGTTTATGACCCTCGGTCTCTGTATGAAAGGCTACAGGAACAGAAAGACAGGAAGCAGCAGGAGTATGAAGAGCAGTTCAAATTCAGTAAGCTTCAGAAAATAGCGTCCAGGGGCCTTTTTGATGCATGTTTGCCTCATACAATACATTTCCTAACTAGCCATGGAATGTTCTTGATTATTGAGTCTCCAGATGCTCATTTGGTGGAAAGGAAACGAATTTCTGCCTCCAAGACACATAAACATTTTTATTTAGAACTCAAGATACCCATTTTAATTCTGTGCTAATATCGAGTAATGGAAGAAGTGCCTTGATTTTATGCCATGTTATCTATCCTAGAGACATGGTGTTTATAAGTTCTTTCGTGTAATCCCCTGAAGGATCTGCTGCTTATTAAAAAAGAAAGAAAAAAAAAAAGGAGAAGGGAAAGACTTATTTGATGCTCTTTTCCCTTGGCCTGCTATGTGTTCTTTGTTTAATTATTTTCTCAGAAAACATGGTAAGAGGTCTGGATGAAGATGAGACCAACTTTCTTGATGAAGTTTCTCGGCAGCAGGAACTTCTAGAAAAGCAACGGAGAGAAGAAGAACTGAACGAACTGAAGGAATACAGAATATCCTTTGTGCATTTAAGAGCAGGCTGGAAGGTGTCCGTTCTCTTCCCAGCATCTGTGGCTTCCAGTTTCCTTGTAAATAGGTTGAGGATCTTGTACCTGGTGTTCTGAATTCCCTTTCAGTATATCCCTGTGACTCTGAGTGACTGGCCGGACTTGTGAAGTTTACGTAGCACATGAGAGCCCATTGGAAGCAACAGACCCCGTTCCGGTGAGGGGCCAAAGTCCCGATCCTTTAGGGATCACTAAAGGCCTGACTTGGGTGAGTGATACCAGGGTCTCTTACCGTGTGCGATTAGCCTGAGGCAGACGAACGGGGCGCAGACCTCATCCGGGGCAGAAAGTGTTTCTGAGTTTTACGAGGAAATGTGCAGCCCCCTGGTCCTGAGTAAGCCCGTCCCTGTGGTGGTACAGCGGGTCTGTCCCCAGGGGTAGAGACAGCAGCTGAGGATGTAGTGTGGCTCAGGACAGCCTTTCTGCGTCCGTGTGTCTCCCAGACACCAGATGCAACATAGCTGACTCAGAGCTTCACGGCCTCAGCCTTTTACCATCCTGCCCTCCACTCAGATCTCTTTTTTTCCCCAGTTTCAGTAACTGTGCCAGCAGGTGCCTGGGCCAGAAACTAGCTCTGAAGCGGGCCACAGGTGGCCCAGTTCTCTCCCAGAGAGCTGTGCCACCTCTCTGGCCACAGCCCCCTCTGAGCTCTTCTCTCCGCCTGCTCGGTCCATGGCTCTGACCCAGCCCATTCTCCTGACAGTGGCCAAGGGGAACTTTGAGAGCATACACAGAGTCTTGCCACTTTCCTCTTTGAAGTCCACTCGCTTCCTGTTGAATTTAGACCTAAATCTACCTTCTTTACCAGACCCTACAAGGCTCTGCCTTGTAGGGCACCAACCTCCCTGTTCTCTCCCCCTTGTGTTCACTGCGCCCCAGCCTGCTGGCCTCGTGTTCCTCTCACCTGAGCTTTGTGATTCCACCTCCAACTCTGTATATTTGCTTTTCTTTGCCTGGAATGCTCTGCCTTCAGATTGTACATGGCTACCATTTCGTGGTCTGGTCTCAGTTCATATGTCCTAAGCACCCCATTTAATTGTGGCCACCCCCTCCTCTCATAATGCCATTTTAAATGGTGTTTATCATTTATTTATCTGCATACTGGTTTGTTCATCTGTTCAATGCTAAAATACAGAGACAACTCCCTAGAACAGGGACTCAGTCACCAGGGATATTTCCCCAGTACCTGGCATATAGGTTATTAGTGCATATGTTCATAAGTAAATGAAGGACTCATAGGAGATGTTAGTAAAGTTACTGTAGCCTTCCCTTCGGGAAGTTTCAGTATTTTTAGTTTAGATGTTGACTGACCTCACTGGTGTGATCAGGTGGGTTTTCCCTGGAAGGTTGATGGGACTCTGCATGGATGTGTTAGTTTGCATTTCTTTGCAGGGCATGTGGAGTAGGGTTCATTAAAGATGAGGGCCGGCGGGAGGGAAGGTGAACAGGTTCCTAAGGACTGATTTAAATCATGGTGACTAACGATGACGGGGGTAAGATGGCAGCCTGTCACAAATCCTGCCCTGAACTAGAAGCCAACCACTGTCTTCCAGCCCCAACTTATGAAGACCAGAGTTGACGAAAAGTCTCACCTCTCCCTGGCCCTGCCCTGGCAACCCCAGGGTAATACTATATGTGAGAGTTTGCAGAGGGGCACATGTATGCACTGCATTGTCAGGCAGCAGACTTTTTCCTCCAAGGGAACACATTAATTACACTTCTCACTGGAATTCTGTCTTGTTTTACGTGCCTTGTTTGCAGGTGAGCAAGTAAGACAATAGAATATTTCCCATGCTGGCTACTGGAGGGTAAGGTTGGTTTGGTTATCAATGCAGAGGGAAGAATGAATACAACAGCAGTGAAGCAAAAGAAAGTTTCTGTCCAGCTAACATTATAGTGCAAAACTGAAGAAGCTCCCGGGGTATCAGTTTTTATTGGAAACTTGGGAAGTTCTCTCTAGAAAACCAAAGCAAAGCAGGCGTCCAGGCCATGGGTGTGGAATGCACTAATCCAAACGTGGGCGGAGCCAGCTAGGAATTGAAGGATTAGACGTTTGTTTATGAAGCTCTGAATTAGGTGCTAGTCTTGGCTTGGCCTGATCGTTATATTATGATACATTTTAGAATGTGATACTGGTGAGTACAGGTAAGCTGTGGTGTATGCTGTTTAAACAAAAGAACGCTTGTTTCCTTTCAGGTCAAACCAACATTTAGCGGTACCCTGTGTTTAAGCTACGTGATTTTTGAAAATGGCTAGCTAATAAATTCCCTGAGATTTTTGAGCTGTGTTTATATATTTAAAGGATTTGGGTAGGAGAAGGACTTAAGGGGGAAGGAAACCCGGCTTGGGCTTTGGGTGGTGAAGCAAAACAGTATTGCTTCTTCCCTGTGCCTTCCCCAAAAAGGTTGGAGGCATTTTTTCAATTTATGAGAATAGAAAGTCAAGTGTTAGCGTAACCAAAGAAAGCGACAAACCTCGAGAAGCAGAGTTTGACCTCAGGCATGGAAAAAGTGATCTAAGAAGTGGCCGTGCTTTTCAGAGTTAAGTGTTAGTTTACCTGTGTGACATGTGCTGTAAGCATGTAGGTGCTTTTGTTGGTTTAACTTTTCAATTCAGAGTTTTGAGAGTTTGAATCTCTTCATGATGCAGGTACAGTAAAAAGTCATGGCATGCTCATGGCTTTGGCGTTTTCTAGTAAAGATGAACTCTTTTGTTATTCTCACAAAATGAACATTTAGTATTAACATCTGTTTCCATGAAATTGTGTGACCCATTGATTAGTGCAGATGTTTGAAGTAGCTGGCGCACCTGAGAACAGTGAGCACTTCAGGGGTGACTAGAATGAGAATCTCCTTGTTGCTAGTACCCAGTTTTCTCCATGGTTTGGACACGGAAACAGCCTCACACATACCCTTCGACCCGGCTCCTGTGGGCGCCAGTACGAGCTGCTTGGATTTCTTGGGCACTAGATGTCACTGTCGTTCCAGTGAGGCATTGCTGCGTCTGAGCATGGGGTCCAGATACTCATCTGTTGCCTAACAGGCCCTGAGAGCACAGGACAAGGAAGGAGGGGAGGGGTGACAAGGAGAACAAAAGAAAGCGACAAACCTCCAGAACCAGAAAGTGCTGTTAGAAGTGGCCCTGCTTTGTTTCCTACGTTGTGTTGGGTTTATACAGGGGTTTCCTACTGACGTCACCTGGGAGAATATTTAAAAGAGGTTCCTGGGCCTCTGAACGTCCTTGTTTAGTACATTTGGGGCGCAGTAGGTGCTGTTACTTTTCAAATGAGGCTTAAGTGGTTCTGACACTGCCATACTCCGGTGAAAGCCAGCTTTAGCCTTTAGGCTTTCTCGAGACTGAACGGCGCCAGTCATTACGGGGACAGCCTGCAAAATGTGATTTGACCGTTGAGGGGGAAAAGCAAATGGTTTTACATCTTTAGGGAATTTTTTTGCCCCCTGTTGTTTATATTCCTAAGATCTTTCCCTCAATCAAGCTTGACATTGGTAGCAGCAGATTATCTGGCTATCCTCAGATTATCATAGAAAACCAGAGGGGAAACTGTGCTCGCCTTGCTGTTTTTCTTCATGGTTACCGTTATTTCTCTAAATCGGCTGGATTTGACTGGCAGAATCAAGAGGGGAGGGTAGTTTTCACATAAGTGCCCTAAACACTGGCGGAACTGAAGTGCTAGCAAGTTCTGTTTGTCTTCTGTCTCTTGTCTTAGCTCTTTCTGTTTCGTTTGACCCTTAACCTGTAACTCACAGTAATCTCAACAAGGTTGGAATTTCTCCAGAAAACAAGAAGGAAGTGGAGAAGAAACTGGTTGTGAAACCCATGGAAACCAAGCACAAGTTCTCCCAGGCAAAGCTATTGGCAGGAGCTGTGAAGCATAAGAGGTCAGCCAGCCAGCCGCGGCGTCTCTCTGATGCGGCTCCCAAATGCCACCTCTGGTGGAGCCGGATCCAAATGCGTCCCAAACGCAAGTCTCTGTGAAGTTCTGCTCCCACATTCGGTAGCTTCTGTATGTAGCCTCTGACCTTTGGCTCTCTGGTGGGTCATTCTGCATAATAGCTGGTTTTTGCTGGCACCTGCCATCTGTCAGGCGTTGCGCTAAGGGTTTTCCATGCATGATCTCATTCCTGTCAGCAGATCTATGAATGTAGGTTATTATCACTTGTGTTTCACAGATGTGGAGACTGAGGATTGGAGAGGTTGAAAACTCTTGCCCAATGTCAAATAGTAATAAGCGAGTCAGAGTTCAGTATTTGAGCATCTGTATTTCTCTCAAACTGGCTAGCTTGTTCCCGGAAAGGGCTTGTATGGGGCGTGATGAGAGCGGGGAGGAAGAAACTGTTCTGCCTGGCAGGGGTCTGTGTGCTCCTGTGGGGGAAGTCAGGAAAGGAATTAGGAAGCGCCTGATGATGTGGGAGGACGAGGGCTTTGACAGCCAGCCAGGGGGAGCGAACATGCAGGCCGGGGAGGGCGCTGCGAGGACCTCATGGCTGGAGGCACCGCGTGGCTGGGACAGGAGTTCGGGGGCCTGGCAGGTGCTCTGCCTGATGGATGCAGGAGTGGTAGCACTGCCTGGAGGTCTTGGTAAGTTCTCTGTTACGTGCTCCTCCCTCACCAGACAATGGAAAGCACCAGAGATTAAATCTGATCTCAGTTGATCACCCTCATCACGGGTGAAGTGGTGTTAGTCGAGTCTGTCAGGAAAGTCGCTGTGGTATGTTTACATCCAGCCGCATGTTTGGAAGGGGGTGTCCTGAGGGGACTTTGGCGACAGCACCGGCTGCAGATGTCTGGAAACATTGCTAACATAGAAAATGCTGTACAGAAACTACGGGGAGGTGTGTGGGTAGCCTGACAGGGCCAGGGATCAGGCCATGATTTACTCCCTTCAAATTTTCACATAAGCTCTTCTGCCTGAGCCAGTGGCTTTCAGGATTAGAACCTGGGTCAGTTTTACTGAACTGTGCCAAGAAGGGAGAGCGGTTAGTTAGCGCTCACCAGTGTTTCTCTGCTGGCACAGTGAGTGGCATAACTTACTTCCTTTGCTTAGTCCTAGCTCGCTTTTCAAGATGACTCTACTAGTTTATTTGGTGAAATGCATGCAAACTCACTTGAGCTTTAAAACTACATCATTTATTGTTGTTTGGTGTAACAAGGTGATAAATTAGTCTCCTGGGGCAGAATTTCCTAATCTGCCAGCCGTGGCTTTATTAGAATCCCCCAGGAGTTTGTTAATAATGCGGATTCCAGGCCTCACACCAATTCTGGTTCATTTAAGTTTGCAGTTAGATCTAAGGAGTCCAATTTTTAAAGTTCCATGGGTGATTTGATGCCTGGCGAAGGCCTGATGCCTGGTCTGTGTGTGCTATAAAAGCATTCTCAATAAGGTCTTAATCATTTCTCCCAGTTTATAGCTTATCTTTCTCTTTTCATAAATTGAGGTGGGTCAGGTATATTTCATATTAAGATTATTGAAGATGTTTACTTGATTTACAACTGACAGGTGACATGCTTGTTTCAGGTGCACAACATAATGATTTGAGATATATATATATATATATATTTTATAAAGTGATCATTACATGACATCTAGTTATTAGTTATTGCCACACAGAGTTAAAAAAAATTTTCCCCCTCTGATGGGAACGTTAAAGGCTTCTAACTCCCTCAGCAACTTTTTTTTTTTTAAGATTTTATTTATTTATTCACATAGAGCTGGAGTATAGGCCAGAGATGCAGAAGGTGAGAGGATTCACCAGGGACAGAGCCGGGAGCAGAACAGGCAGATGGATGAAGTACACTGCTGGGGGGATGAGGGGAGCAGCAGGCGGGTCAGGAGGGGTCTGCCACGCCATGTGGATCTCCTCCGGGGCAGGTGGGAATTGAACTCATGTGGAAGTGACTTTAGCTTCTTAGTGCAGTGCTTTAGCCCGCTGCGCCACCAGGGAGGGCCCCCCCTTAGCAACTTTTTATCGACTATACTTAACATGCCATTACGTTATACCTCAGGGCTGGTTTGTTAGATAGGTGTAAGTTTGTGCCTTTTTAAGTTGGTCAAATGTATCAACATTTTCTTTCATGGTTAGAGCATTCAATATTCTGTTCAATTGAATCCTGAGATGATACGAGTTTTGTCCTAAAAGTTTTAGAGTTTAACCTTTCACATGTTAGTCTTTAACCTTCTGGAGTTGATTTTTGTGAGGATTCTGAGGTAGGGATCCCATTTCAATGTTTTTTCTTCCAATGAAAAGCCAGTTTTCTAGCACCATTTGCTAACTATTTCTGCTTTCCCCCACTGGTCCCTGTGTCACCTTTCCTTCCCAACATGATCCCGCACACGTAGGAGTTTCTGAGGGGCTCTTGTCCCCTCATCTGATCTCTTGCTGTCCCTCTATGATTGTGGTACCTCGATGCTACATCTTGGTGTTTGGTGAGGCGAGTCCCCTTACAGCTTTTTCAGAAGTTCTCCTCTACTCTGGCCACTCTGTTCTTCCATCTACATTTTAGATTTAGTTTCAGTTCTTCAGAAACCTCTATTGGGGTTTTTATTGGGATGTGATTAAATTGTTCGGTAAATTTATGGAGAGAGCTGACCTTTATGGATTTGTCTTCCTGTGGCATACTTCTGAGTCTTACAGGCTTTGAAATGTATTTGTCTTTTGTTACTACCTGAAGTGCTTTGTGGCTTATAGGTGCTGACTCTTGGAATTGCTTTCGACTTCCTGGGTGCCCCAGTCTCAGGTTCATTTTGTGAATGTTCCACATGTGCTTGAGGAGGCTTTGTGTTTTACAGCTTCTGGTTTCTGTGCAGGTTCAACAGAATGAGCTTGTTAACTGTACTGTGTAGTGTCTTTTTTTTCTTTTTTTCTTTGCAGGGGTTAAAATTAATTTTAAGGATGTTTTCCCCTTTCCCCCTAAACATGCATCATTCAAGTAAAATCAACTTAGCTGTAGAAATGTAGCAAAGTAAGGGGAATCAGCACAGTAAACTAAGAGTCAATGGTTGAAGGTGGGGAGCCAGAGGGGTGCAGTCCTCTTATGCTCCTCCCCAGAAGCAAGCACAAAGACCCATCTTAAGAGGGTCCTTCCCCCCCCCAAACATCTGAGGATGTTTCAACCTAAAGCTGTGGTTAAAACAAGGGGAAAAAAACCCAAAACACCCAGCCATCGCTGATCACAGGAATTTCTCTTCATTTTATAAGATTAATAAAAAGTGAAAATGATTTCCTCCTCTTATATTTTAAAGATAACAGAGTCCAGGAGTTTCTTAGAGAAACAGCAGAAGCTGCCACCATTTCTACCCTGTGTCACTGCGTGAGGCTCAGCAGGGCTCGCTCGTACCATTTACCTCTGTCTGCTTACTGTGGCAGTATCTCGGAGTTGTTCTTTGAAATCTCCCGCTCTACAATAATGACTTCTTGGTTTTTCTTCAGTTTTGTTGAATATATATTTTAAGCTCTTTCTTTAAATAGAAACATTCCTGTTCAGAGTTATCTTTTTTTCATGGTGAATTGAGCATTGTCTCTTTGTAAAGTAACTTTCTTTATTTTTTGTAATGCTTTTGTTCTTAGGCTGTTTTTCTAATATTAATAAAGTGTCCTCAGCCTTCTTTGGGTTAGTATGTGCCTTGGTAACTTTCTCTGTTTTTTCTGTGTCTTCAAGTTTGTTTTTGTACAGACAGTATTTGTTTTGATTTCTGTTTGTGTTTGTCAGTTTCTATTTTAGCTCTTCTTTCTGGAAATTTTTTCCCCTTCATTGAAATAAGTTCTTTAGAGACTCTTTCAGTGAAGGTTTTGGGGTGTCACTGAAGATATCTCCCTTTTTTTTAGTAACTTTTTGTTATATACATATAACAATACAGGTGATAGACAACAGACACTCTAAAGATTGATGCTTGAAGATCTAACACTTTTCCCCTCAAATTGGTCAGGGGGCTGTCTTTATAATTTTTAATAATGTGATTGGAAGGAGATTAGAACCTGAAGCAAAGACTTTTCATTTCAGATCACCCCAGCTCCTTGAGGCCACCTAAGATCCATATTAAATGGCTGTGGAGCTCCTGATTCTCAAAGCTTTGATCCCCGAGATTGTACATAGCTCAAATCACCATGTTTTTGTTACAGCTCTGAAACTGGCAACAGTGTGAAAAGGCTGAAATCGGAGCCTGACCCGGATGATAAGAATCAAGGTGGGTAGCAACATTCATTTGGAGGCTTTTTTCAAATTCATAATGTATGAACCATAATAAAGGGCTGGAATGTGCGGCATCTGTGAATGAATGCACTTATCTAAACAAGTCTTGCTAAACCTAACAGTTTTCTACCAGGCAGGATTTATAGTCAAGAGTATGTCAGCTTTTCTGCAAAGTAATATGTTAGAAACCAGTGGAGGTGATTAATGACAGTTGTGCTCTGCCAGGCATGCTTACAAAGCCTGGTCACATCACCTCTGCTTACAAAGGCTTTTGCTCTCTGTCTCCCCTAAATGTCACATTTCTTCCTTTCCCCTGGCTTGCTTCCCAAGAGAGGCAGAATGCCTGACCCGTGCTAATGGTTGGACTGGGTGGAGCCTAGAGGCTTTCCCTGGTGGTCATGTTCAGCGACACCTGGCACTGCATTAAGTGAAGGTGAGGGCTCCCGGGGCTGGATCAAGAATGAGAAACTCAAGAGTGTTCTTTTCCTGTCTCCATGTGGGATTAAGACTCTGCGCTAAACTTAATGGGTCATCTGTACAGCGGGACTTAACATTTCTTTTTAATTTATGTTATTTATGCACTCAAGAACTGGAGTGTATCTGGTATGGGGTGAATTCTCAATCTGTTACAGGGTACCCCAATGTGAATTGGGTTGCCTGTCTGTGGGTCTTCACCCGTGCACTTATGATTCAATCGTATTATGGACACACTCAAAAGGTTCCATATGGATTTATTTATAAGGAGAAAGGTAAAGGAATAACCCAGGGAAAGAGGGAGAGAAACACAGGCTAACTAGGATGTCCCACCAGTTCTGCTGACTTGGACTCCACCGGCACGCTGAAAACCGGTTGAGAGCCAAAACGATCAGCTGTGAACTACCAGGTCCCCCCCAGAGCCTACATGTCCGGTTTTATCCCAACCTGGCTGCTCAGCTCCGCCCTCACGTCCCCCTGTGCTTCTCCTTGGTGTTGACGGGATTTGGAGTTCCAGCATCTGGAGTGGGGGCGGAGTCCATGAAACCTGTACCTGCTACAAATACACATTCCATGGATGGCGGGTGGGTGGGTGCATGGATGGATGGGGGGGAGGTGGTGGATAGGTGCTAGACGGATTCACCAGGGACAAAGTGGGGAGCAGAGCAGGTGGGTCTACTCACAGATACACTGCTGAGGGGCGCAGGGGGTGAGACAGGAGAGGTCTGCTGCCCCTAGTGTGTCCTTTAAGTCTCAGTGGACCGATAGGTTCTTCCTCATTTTCACATTTATTGTCTGTGTGACTTGTTTAATTTATGAAGAAGCTGGGTCTTTATCCCGTGGAATGTCCCCCACTCTAGCTTTGGCCGCTTGCGCCCACTGTCCTTTATACCCTGTAAAAATGGTAACTAGATCTAGAGTTTGATCAATTCCAGTTGACTTTTTTAGCAAGAACACTTCCTAGTTGCTATTGTTCTTCTATCATCGTCATCACCTTCATTATGCTAATTAACACGCTTTCGGTCACTTACGGTTCGTCTGTCTTGTGTCGTGGGAGGCGGCGTGCGTCTGGTAGTGAGGGTCGCCACTCCACGCGCGCCTCCTTGTGGCCTGGCGTTCCGTGGTCGTGTCTTGCATATGTATCCCATGGTAAACGTTTCGATCATTTCCAACTATTAGAATTGGAAAGAATTGCAGTGATCATTTCTCTATTACGAAGTTTCATTAAATCACCCTATACTTGCATCTCTTTACATATATTCCAGATACGTCAGGCTAACCAGTTAGAATTTTGGGGCCTGACAGGATATATATTTGTAATGAAATATTGCCGAATTTTCCTGCGAAGACCTCAGTTTACACACCCGTCAACAGTGCAGTAGCTCCATTTCCTGGGTACTTCATATAATGCACTGGAAACTCGCTAAAAGCTGGCTTGTTAAATAGGGGGTGTGTGTGTATAAAACTTCATAAAAATCCTAAACATGCTTCAAGTAGTCAACTAATAGCCTGTATCTGGTACTTACTCCTTTTAGGAACTATTTATGGAAACACTTATATGGTTTTTTTGAACAAACTCAGGTATTGCAGGTATTGCATGTCAGAGCCAACTTTTTTGTCATTCTGAATACCTTCTTCCCACCCTTCCATTCTTACACCAAAAACTGGGCAAAAAAAAATGTCCGCTTTGCTAGAAGCTAAGATCCCACAAATGAATGACCTCTGAAGCTTGCTTCAGCTTTTTGTACTTGACAGTAGTAGGATGCGTCTCTTTGGCCCCCAACTCTGATACTAGTGGGGCTTCGGCTTCCCCCACTCGAGACTAAACTGAAGTTCTGAGCAGAGCCAGCAAATGCACGTGTTGACCCCATTTACTCTCGAGGCACGCATCCGCCTCAGACCCAAGAATGTTCTGTTAGTAATTTCAGTGTTAATTTGGCATGACAATGTGGTCCTGCAAATGCGGAAGTTGGCAGGAAACCTCACCAAATGGGGGAGATCAGAGGGCACCATTTTGTTCTCTGTGGACACTAGCTGCTTTGGAATGAAATCTGTCAGAGTTGCAGTCTCTTTTCTTTCTTGAAACCCCAGGATAATTGGGTCTTCTGGCCCCAGCTCTGCTGATGCCATAGGAGCCCCTGCTGCTTGGCTGCATTTCCGTGGCTGGCTTCCTCCCCTTCCTCCTCAGGTCTTTGGCTCCTTTGCCATCTAAGATTGGCCCTAAAATTAGTTCACCCTTGAAATACTTCAGCAAATACATGTCTTAATGAACAGCTTCACATGAGCTACTATTCTAAGTAACTTGTTCTTATCCTTCTTTAAGGATAAGATACCTTTAAAAATGCCAAGTTTTTTTTTTTTTTTTTTAAACAGATGACTGAAATGATCATTGCACGTGACAAATAACAGCACAGTGCATGTTCGAGGAAGGGCTGGGGCGCAGTTTGAGGTTACGTCCCAACTGTTCCCATCGTCCTGCCACCCCCAAAATTTAGCCACTTGACAGTGACACTCTGTAATTCTCTAACATGTTTTTCCACCTTCTCACCCATTGAGCGCTGGCCTGCCCTGGGCCAGGCCCGGGCCTCGGGGTGGTGTGGCGAGGAAAGGGCCTTTGCCCTCCAGAGACCTAGTGGTGGGAGGCCCCTCGTCTTTAGGACTCACCTGTCTATATCTCAGGTAGTACAGGGGAGCCCTCGGGGTTACAGAGCTTCATGGAACTCCCTAATTTAAGTGGCTCAGGATGCTCATTAAATTTTCCATTTGCCTTTTTAAAGAAATTGCCAGAGTAGGCAGTCCGTGCTCATGATAGAAAATGTTACAGGGAGCAGAGTGAAGTGAAAAGTTAAGTCTCCCCTGCTCCCCAGCCACACGTTTCCTGTCCCCACAACCTCTTTTTCTGTTTCCAGACACAGTCGTGCTTGCCACGGGCTTCCCCTCCCACAGGTAACTTCACACACCTGCCTCCTCAGCCCTGAATCTGGGAGGTCACTCAGCACCAGTACTCACAGGGGTGCTTTCTTCTGCAGGGCGGAGCAGTCGCCCAGCGCTTCTCGGTCCCCCGGGGTCAATGTTCCGACTCCAGTCCGGTGCCATCAGCAACACCGCTGAGGACGCTGTCCTGTGAGCGACACTTAAGTTCGAAGGGCAGCTTCGCCGGGCTGCCTACGCGCCTTCAGCAGCGTGGGAACGTGCCCGTTGCCCACGCCGCCCTCCTCCTCGCTTACTCTCCTGTGTTTGTTATCGGGGCTTCTTTACAGTGGGCTGTTCACGTCTTCTGTCCACTTTCTTGTGGCTGTCGGTTGGCGGTGACGTGAGGACTCCCACCGTGCGTCAGGATGCGCTCCGGGCAGGTGTGACGCAGGACCGCCTCTGCTCTCGCCAGCCTTGCTCGCTTGCCGCATCGCGGCTGGCTCTCGTTTGTCTTCCTCATCGCCACGCTGCACGTTACTCATCGTCAGCAGCTGCTCTTCCCTCCTTAGGCCTTCCTGTGAGGGGCGTGGCTACGCCGACTCTGAGGGCTGTGTGATGCCTCTTTTCTGCCTCTTCCTGGGCTATTTTGCTTCCTCCTAACCTCCTAACATAAATTAAAAAGAAATGTTAAGTCCCGCTGTACAGATGACCCATTAAGTTTAGCGCAGAGTCTTAATCCCACATGGAGACAGGAAAAGAACACTCTTGAGTTTCTCATTCTCATGTACTTGGAACACAGGTTTTTCTCCACATTGTGTGAGGTGTCCTTCCAGGTGTCAGCACCCTTGGGCGTCATTTGCTGGTCAGCCTGATGCAGTGCGGCTTGAGCCCCAGCCCCTGATCTGCGGGGTACGCTGGCCTTCTCGTACTATGTTATCTCTGATTCAGCTTTAGTTGACGGTTTTCTACCCTCAGTGGTGTATCTAAGCCAAGTGACATGAGCGCCTTCATTAGTAAAGTAAGAGTTAGTGCCAGGTTGTTGTCACGATTGAGTGAGCTTGGAAATCTCTAGAGGGCAGCCGACCAGCGGAGTAGAATGCCAGCCTTGTCCTGAAGCCTGGGGTCCTGCAGTTTCTGGACGGAGCTCCCCTCGCGGAGCCGGAAGCGTTAGCTGCGTCTCTGCGGCGCGGCAGCCGTGTGGCGCCGTTCTGCGTGGTCGTGACTCGTTCCCTGGTAGTGGCTTCGGTTTTCTCACTTGTCAAAGAGCAACAAGCTGCACGGTGACGATGGCGAGAACGCCTGGAGGCTTCTGGGTGAAGTCTCCGCACACGCCTGGCCCAGGAAAGGGCACTCGGCCCTGGGCAAGCGGGGGCGTGACGGCCCTTCCTCCTCTCTTGCAGAAGCCCCGGCCTGCGTGTCTCTCGGAGCCCCGCCCCTGAGCGGCCCCTCCATCCACTGCCCCTCTGCTGCGGTGTGCATCGGCATCCTGCCGGGCCTGGGCGCTTACTCCGGGAGCAGCGACTCCGAGTCCAGCTCAGACAGCGAAGGCACCATCAACGCCACCGGCAAGATCGTCTCCTCCATCTTCCGAACCAACACCTTCCTCGAGGCTCCCTAGCTCCCACGCCCTTTCCTGGGGACCCTCCAGAGTTTGCCGGACAGCGCACTGTGCCTGCAGGCAGCATTTCCCTCAGAAAACTCCTTTGCCTGCTTTCTGTGCACACGTGACCTTTCTAACCTCATCTAAAATGTGCCAGGATCCACTTGCGGCCGACTTGTACTCGGTGTTTCTTTCCACTCGTGTGCAGGCGCCCAGCCCCGTCCTACTGCCTCTCTCCTCACTGGTGGGTGGGTGGGGGCCGGGCCCTGGGAAGATGGGCCCAGCTGGCTTGCAGAGGGGCCGGGCTAGAAGGTTCCTTGGCCTGGCTTTTGGTTTTTTCTTGCCCCACAGCGAAAAGGAGCCAGGCCGGGGGTTGAATCGGTGTCCATTAAACGTCCTACCCTAGGAGGACACGTCATTTGGTGAAACTGCGTGGGGGGGGGGAGGCAAGTGACCCAGCTGACTAAGTGGCGTGTCCCCTGGAACTCACCCGTTCTTGATGTTGTGTGACTAAGTAAAGATTGTGACCCGCACCTGCCCGGGCTGTCGCTGACCACTCATCATTCCTGTTGAGTTCTCTTACTCTTTGCCACTCCTCATCCTCCATCCAGTCCCATTTAAGACGCTCAGCCTTAGAGAAACACAGGCCCCGGGTCAGCGGGGCCAGGACTCAGAGGTGCTGCAGGTGGTGGGTGAGGTAGCTCGGTTCCTGGAGGCCTCAAGTTGCGCGACGGTGGGGCACGGCCGCGTAGCCCACCGCCCCCTGCGCTCTTGGCCGGAGACATGACAGTTGTGGATTCTAACAACGGAAGTCCTTCCCCGCCCAAGGGGCTGCCCTGGCCCTTCCCTCTGCTTCTGTCCCCCCGCCACACTGCGCCTTCCCTTCTCCCCCAGAGCAGCCCGAGGCGGTGACCCTGACCGCCCTGCTCCCCCTTTGTCCCGTGAAGGGAGATGGGGAGAGAGCCTCGAAGAGGCGGCCGCAGGGACAGAGGTTGGCAGGGGCTCCTAAGAGAACGATCTCCAGACCCCCCTGCTTCGGGGGGACGAGGCTGAGCGGTTCTTTCTTACCTTGGTCCCTACGTCAATTGTTTCTCCTTCCCTGGGTGTGAGACAGAGACGCGTACAGAGCGTGTTGATACTGAGATGCTGGCAGGCGGGGGCGCTGCTCGGTTTTAACGTGGGCAGAGGCCCCTGGATCGCAGTCAGCCCCCTCCTTTCCGCCTTCCGATGCAGTGACACTGGTGGCCGTTGGCAGATGGTTGACTTCCCGTCACCCGTAACTGATGCCTTGCGGGTTTTTCCTCCTTTCCGGAACTACTCTGCTAATTGCTCCCGAATGTCAGGACAGGCGCGCGAGCCCCATCCTAACACGCAAGACGTTAGGTAAAACTGTGTGGGCACCGCTGCCTCCCTGCTTCGCTGTCCTGCGATCGGGCCATCGTCATTACAGCAGGTACCCAGCGCCACCTCCTGTCACTTCAGGCATCAAGTCCCCACCGTTTCGTGGTTTGACTTTTAAGAGATCATCTCTCCACTTGTGGCTTCTGTTGATGGTGGGAGAAGTTGACGGAGGGAGGCAGGGATTAAAAACATACATTAGCTTGAAAGCTGTAGGCTCGTAGGAGAACAAGAGCTTTTCCTGCGCTGACTCTTGCGCTCCCAACTCCCTCCCCACCCACCGTAACTAGCAGCTTGATTGTGCTAAGGAGGTGGAGACTAAAGACTGGGATTTCTGCTCTTGTCCAGGAGAACCTGAAAGTCCCTGTGGTCATTTCATTTTATTTTGTTGTCCCAGTGAGTGCAGGGCCCTGTTGCTGAGACAGGGTCTCTGGAAGCCGCAGGGAGCAAAGCAGTGTCTGTTCTGCCTAGTGGAGAAAACAGCCTTGACAAGCTCTCAGTGCGCATCCTGTGGTTCAAGCCCAGAGGCGTCCAGAAAGACTGGGACAGAAGGAAATGCTGCCTGAAACCGTACCCTGCGGCTGTCCTACATTGATCCTGGGATTTTATCACTAAGGAATGAAGCGCTAAAACAGAGTCTGGGGTGGGGTTTCATCAGTCTTGCTTACCCTGTCTTGAGTGGTGCATCCCCACTGAAAGCAGCAAGAGGGTGCCTGTAGCCAGCTCTGTCAGGATACCTAGCTGGGGGCCCGGCCGGCTGGCCACTTCCCGCCCTGGTCTGTGTTGTGCAGCCACCTGGCCAGGCAGGTTCAATGTTGAGTCAGGCAGGTGGAAAGAGAATTTTGGGATCTTTGTTACCTGAATCGGAACCAGATGCACAGGCAGCAAGAGAGCCTCTGAGTCCCCGGGAATTGCCCCTTTCACCCGCCTCTCTGCACCCAGGTGTCTGTCTGCACCTGCTTGGCCCGTGTTTCTGATGCCACAGGTGCGCCAGCCCCGGGCCCGCGCTCCAACGCCTTTTGCAGTAACGCGCTGTGACGATGTGGGGGTGATGAAGCGGGGGTGGGGGGACAGCAAAGCTGCAGGTAGCAGCTGGAGAGGTTAGGCGGTTGGGGTGGGGGAGGCCTCGAAAAAAAGCCCGAGTACCCCGTGTTCCTTTCAGCCTGCTTTTGACCCCGTCCGTCACCCCACTAAGTGGGGAAAACGGAACTTGAAATTCAAGGCGTCCGTAGCCGTTTCATTGCCTTCCCTGCCGGCCAAGACCCAGGAGAGAAAGCTGGCTCCCCAGCCCACCGGGGCTTCTGCTTTTCCATGAGGCGCCAGGCGCTCCTACAACCAGGCCCTGCATTCACTCTCCATTCCCGGCTTCTTCCTTTCTAGCTACCTCCGTCTAACCCAGAGAGCAGCCTCATGCCCCCACTGCGCCCGCCCCTCCCGCAGGGAGCCCACCTTCCATGCCACAGGGGTCATGAGCTTGGAACCAGGCTTTGACCAACTGGGACATTTGGGCAGGGTCCCTAGCTCCTCTGGGCCCCTCCCTCCTTGGTAAACGGCAGCAGGGAGACTGGCTCCCTGGTGAATGGGAGTGAGGCTCCCCACTGGGGTGGTATCTGGCACTCAGCGCCAAGAAGAGGCGGCCATCAACAGTGCTGTCACAGGCTGCCCGCAGCGTCAGGGTGCTGTGTCCTGAGCTTTCAGGAGAGGCTGGTGGCAGGATTTTCCACCTTCACCCGCATTCTTTACTTGCAGCTAGAACACTGACATGAAGGGTCAGATGTGGTCGTCAGAGCTCCAACCACCAGCTTCTGCTGCATGCTTTTCTCATAGCTAAATGTCAGTTGCTTGGCACGCCCGCTTCCTTGGCTCGGGCGCCCTACCCGTGGGTATGCGGCTCAGCTGTCGTATTAAGCCCCTCCAAAAAAACAGGAGAACTCGATGGCTTTGCACCGGGGTATTTTCCTGATCTCCTGCCGTGCCTGGCCCACTTAGGCGCGACAGTTGGGAACTCGCCCTGCTGGGGGGAAGCTGGCATTTTGCTCCCTTACAGTTTAGGAGGAGAAGGAGCATCCCAACAGAGACAGGCAGACCCTGGCCCAGCTCCAGAGCTTCACTGAGCAGAACTGGGGCGCCCTCCACCCCCAGCACCGGGATGCCCATCAGCAGCCGAGCGCATCATCCCTGGCGTCTCATGGTCGGGCATTCAGTGGACACAGAGGACCTACTCTCTGCACCAGGCGCTGCTTGCAACAGCTGCAGACTTTTTTATGGACTTCAGTACTGTTTATCCTGAGGGTGGAGGAGGGGGTGGGGAAGTCCCCAGAAGCAGCCCCTCTGCATTTTTTTAGAGGACACCATAGTGGGGTACTTAATGACTTGCCTGGGGTCGCAGTTATGGGGTGCAACCAGAATTTTAATTTGAGCTTTTAAGTCCATTTTTCTGCAATCAAATTTAAATAAGTGCCAGTGCCCCCACTTCCATGGAGGGGTCAGGGGTGAGTCTCTCTAGACAGGTAGTCGAGCCGACTTTGCAGCCTGCTCTTCATGTGTAAGAACCAAGTGAAAGCACACGGCCTGGCTGTTTGGTTTTTATGGATATAATTAACTCTGGTGAGTTTCAGGTGTCCAGTAGGCACTGCTCACCATACAGTAAGTTTGTGTGCTGAGGACTTTTTATTACATAGATCTCTCTCAGCAACTTTCAAATAGATACACAGAATTAGCAACTGCAGTCACTATACTTTATATCCGTAGGGCCTCGTTTCTTTTACTTTTTCAAAAGTGGTGATTTGGCCTGGTCAGGCGTTCAGGCCTTTCCTTTGTGAACTGGAAACAGCTGCCCACCCTTGGGCAGAGAAATGGGGACGAGCAGAGGTGGCTGTCAGAGCGCCCACAGGAAAGCTGGCGGTGGGTCACGGCTAGGGTGCTCGTGGTAGTAGTGGGACCCTGACACAGCGCAGGGACTACTTGATGGCGGTGTCGGCTTATGTCGCCACCCAGTGAACCATCCCCACGGGGAGCTGTCGGAGTGGGGTCCGCACAAGAAGTGGTCACCCCAACATAGCCCCTGAGTGCTAAGGAGGGAATTGGGGTTGGAAAGAGACGGCTGTTCCTCTCCACCGGCCTCTGCTCAATCAGACTCTGCAGACCCCCCACCCCCAGGCTGGGGCAGCCCAACCTCTTGGATGTGACATCACGCTGAGTCTCGCTCCGCTACCAAGTGGGAAGGGAGGAGCAGGTTTGTGCTGAAGTTTCCACAGCCCCAGTCTTGCAGCAAGGGCTGGGCCAGAAGTCCCAGTGCTGGAGTCCATCCCTGTGCTGAGCTGGCTCCTGGGCTGGTTGCTGGGCTTCCCCAGAAGTCCTTGCGGTAATCAGGGCTCCTTGCTGGCAATGCACCCTCTGAGAAGTGCAAGTGCCCCAAAGGAGGCTCAGCTGGCCCCACAATCAGCCGAAGCACTGGAAGCTTCAGATGAAGGTAGCCCCTCATTGGCTCCCATCAGGAAAGAGCAGCCCCCGAGTTTACCAGGGAGGCAGGGAGGAGCAGGTCAAGACAACCAACTTCCCGGTTTCACTGGAGAGAGGGAAAACTCACTTCAAGGAGCCGCCCTTGTAGAGGGGAGGGAGATTATGCAACAAGTGTGGGCTGTGGGGTGGCCAGTTCCAGGTGTAAGTTCTGGCTCTGACTCTCATGGAGTCTATGAGCTTCTCTGCTTGTTTCCTCATCTGGAGGGTCACATGCAGGGCGCTGACCATCAGAAAGAGGCCTTCAACCCCTCAGCATGGGGCTGGGACGCAGCACTGGAGGTGGGCAGGAGAGGAGAAGGTGTCTGTTGTTGAGGGGGGTATGGTGAGGGGCTCTGAGGGGGGCCTTGGCACATCACGTGAAGTTGGGCCTGAGCCAACTAGGGGCGTGTGGCAGGCACATGGCTGCTGTTGGCAGGGACAGCAGCACCCATTTAGCCAAACGCTGAAGAACATGGAGCACCCGATGCCCCAGGGGGTCCCCAGAGGGAGCAATTCTGCTGACTTCACAGGCCGCCCAGGGAAGGTGTGTTGTCCCCCAGGTCCGTGAGCCGTCTGGGTCCCAGCCGAAGAAGGAGCCGACACAGGGACGTCTGAACCTCCTTTAATGCCCTGAGTAAAACAAGTCACACACGATCACAGTGTAAAGGAACAACAGGAATCAGGCGCAGGCCACGACACAAGGGATGTCCCGGCTCAGTCCTCTCCGAGAGCAGCCAGTCACTTGGCAGAAAGCCAGTTGTGATTATAAAAATTTTATTCTCTTTAATAACAATTCCACTAAAATTATACAAAGTACATTCAATACTTAAGAATGGCAGGGGTAGGGAGAGGGGGAGAGGAAGCCAGTTTGGCCTGGAAGCATCTGTCGACGCCAACAGAGGCAGCCCAGCTGGGCTGAGGGAAGCTGGGGGTGGAGGTCCAGTTGTAAAAAATAAAAACGTGGATCGGTTAAAAAAAAAAAAAAAAGGCCACCCACGAGGAAGCAGGGTGAGCGTGCACGTTCCCGGGGGGCGGGGGGGGGCCCAGCCGGCATGCTGCTGCTGGGCTCGGGCTGGAACTCAGGCGGGCTCCTCCGAGCTGGCAGGGGGCAGGTTTTTATGCTTGAAATACTGCACGACCTGCTGGGGGAGCTCGGCCAGCACGGCCTTGGCCAGGGTCTCTTTCGCTGCCTGAGGGTCGAGGTGGAGACAAGGCGAGAGGACAGGATTACTGATGGGAGCCGCAGACGGGAGGGCTTGGGGACAGCCCCCACCCCGCCGGGGCCTGGAATCCCACTAGCAGGGGCGTGTGGTCCCCTCCCCCAACCCCCCCAGGGGAAGGACACTGCTGGCTGTGGGCACTTCAGCTGCCTGCCAGTGACAGTCTAGGCTGGATCTGTCTGCGGGGGCTGGACCGAGTCTGAGCACTCCCTTGCCGGTCCTCAGCCGGCCGGTTCACTGCTGAAGGCGCAGCCCCAGGCCCTGGGGGTGCTGTCCCCGTCCTGGGCCCTGGGCGTGACAGGCGGCACTGCCCACCACTGTCCTGTGGGCGCTAAGGCTCCAGAGGTGGTTCCAGCCATCTTGAGCTCAGGTGCTCTGGAAGGGATGTGCGGGCCACACAGCACCACTCTAAGGGTGGCCTGCTCTCACCGGCCCCCAGGGATCTGAGCCAGGACACCAGAGAGCTCCAGAGGCCCCACCTTGTGCCTCCCCCAGATAAGCCTCAGGCTGCAGCTGGCCAGGCAGGGGTGGCACCAGACTGTGCCCTCGGGCTGCTCGTGGGCCAGGCTGCCAGGGCAGTGACCAGGAAGCCAGCTCTGGGCAGGCTCGCAGTGGGCTCAGATAGGGCCAGAGCCACCTCCAGGAACAAGGCTGGGGGGGGGGTGCCCTCTCAGAGGCCCTTACAGAGAACCTGAAATGGGCCTCGTTTTCCACGTGTGGCCAGATGAGGGGTGATGACCAGAAAAGCCCCTCACTGCTGGGCCTCTGTTCCTGTCCTGCAGTCTGTCTGGGGCGCTGTGCCCCGCTGGGTAACCTGACGTCCTGCGCAGGGCAGGGGTCTCCGGGAAAGCGGAGCCCCAGCTCCCCGGCCCCTCCCCCTTCGGGGCCATCAGCTCGCCATCAGCCCCCCAACGAGTGCTCACACCTCACCGTCCCACCTGGGACAGCCTGGCATGGCGCTGAGCGTTAGTGGGCCCTCAGGGAGTGTGCCGGGGTCCCGTCGCCCCCTCCGTGCCGCGGGGGGCCCCCACTCACGTTGCGAAACTCGCGGAAGGGCACGAACTGCACAATGTCGCGGGCCGCCTCCTCCCCGGTGTGGGAGCGCAGCGTGCGGCTGTCCCCGTCCAGGAACTCCATGGCGGCGAAGTCGGCGTTGCCCACGCCCACGATGATGATGGACATGGGCAGCTTGGACGCCTGCACCACCGCGTGCCGCGTCTCCTCCATGTCGCTGATGACTCCGTCGGTGATGATGAGGAGGATGAAGTACTGCTGCGGGCGCAGGCGGGTGCTCAGCGACCCGAGGCCTGTCAGGACCCCCGGCCCCCCGGGCTCCGGCCCCCGAACCCTCGACTCTCAAAAGGAGGGGGCTCTCCTTCCCCGGAAGCAGTCGACACCCCCCGCCTCCCTACGCACCGGACACAGGCTTCTGCCTCACGTCTGACCACGTCGCAGCCCAGGCCACGGTGCGTGGGTCACGCGCCTCAGCGGGCAGCCAGCTCTCGGCCCGGTCTGTCAATCCTACAAACTGAGTCCTGGAGGACGGCTGGGGTGGGGTGTCCCCCACGCCCTGCCGTGTGCTAACTTTGCTTATTAACAGAGAGAGGGGACAGACAGCCCAGCGCTTCAGGGGACAAGAGCCTGGCTAGACTTTAATGCCAGTATACAGTTGGTTATATTTATTTTTGCTCTGTGTTTATGGCAAGTGATAACTGACCCCAGTTACAATGGGTTAGAAAGTCTATACAATTTTTTAAGTTAAAAAAAAACACACACACACTGAATAATCTGCAGGTAACCTGGTGGGAGGGAATGAATGGATTTTGGGGGGCTCACTGGGTGGACCCCGGGGGGCCTGGGACGTCTGCTTTTTTAAGATTTATTAAAAATATTTTTTAAATTTAATTTTATTTATTTGTGTTTAGAACGGGGGTACAGGGGTCAAGGTGGGGAAGGGAATCAATTTCACCAGAGTGAGGAGCAGAACAGGTAGATCCACTGAAATCCACTGCTGAGGGGAGCAGCGGGGAGACAGGAGGGGTCTGCTGCGCCCTGTGGGTCGCTCCCTGGCTGGGGATCGAACTCAGGGCGCAGGGGTGAGAGTACCGAGACTTAAGCTCTGGGTCCCCAGGGGGGCCCTGGGAAGCTCTGGGCCTTAGCACTCTCTGGCCTCTTTGGGGAGGAATTCAGTTTTCCCAGTCTAGAGAATATAGAAAATCTCTGTTTCCTCTGATTCTTGGGAGAGGAGTCTGGGGCCTGGACTAGTCGAGATAGGAGCACACCAGAGCCTGTTAGCACTCGGCACCTTCTCACTCAGCCAAGCTGTCTGCTCCCCGGGCAACTTACGGAGGTTACAGAGTCAACCCTTTAGGATACTTTGCTTTCCTGCCAGCCCCCCAAGAAAACTGTCGAAGGAGGGAGTGGGGAGAGCCGCATGGAGACACAACCCACCAACCTAGCCCGCAGCTCTGGGCAGCTATAGGCCGGCAACTGTACTGTGTCTTTAAGAGACCAGTTCCTTGGCTGGGGATACCTGTTGCTATGGAGATGGCAGCCTGAATCCCTGCAGTGGAGGGTTGTTGCTGCCAGCCCCCCAGCCTGGGGTTGGGGGAGCCTCGTAATTTCATCTAGACCCTGTGTTCCTACAGTCACCATCCTTCTCACTCCTTCCCTGCGTGGCCCTCTCATAGCTTGCCCCTGACCCCCAGACACAGTCCTGGGTAATGTTTCAGGGGTTCCTAAATAAAAGCAGGGGATGGGAGGACAGGAATGCCTGCCCTTGGCCCCCACCCAGGCCTCCCTGCTTAGTGGGGAACTGGCCTCCAGGCCACTTCCAGCTCAGACCTCACCTCCCTCCTCCCTCCCATGCGCCCTCTGGCCCCCCCTCAATCAGTTATGTGAGAAGACAGCTTGCAGGTAAGGCGCCCTCAAACCTTGGACCCTCCTTCCTCAGGGAGAGGCTGTAGGTAGGGACCTGGGCTCCTGCAGGGCTGTGGGCAGCAGTGACAGTATGAGCAAGTCTCTACTGTAGAGGCCCCAACACTCCCACCCCACTCCCTTCCCCCCCCTTTTTTCTTCCCCCGTTGACCCTTTTTTGGGCTTGAAGGGGTTTTCGTTGTTTTTTTCGAGGTCTCATAGCCAGAAGCTGACATCTCTAGATTGCACCCCAAGCCTGGCTGACTCCAGAGATGGGGCTCCCACTTCGCGTCTTCAGCACTGGTGCCTGGCAGGGAGACGCTTTTTGTACCCTCTCGCCCAGCAGCCCAGGGCAGGGTCCCAAGCCAGCACTGGGCTTCACCCTCACCTCTGTGCACCAGCTGCCTCCCACCGGCTGGCCTGAGCTGGACTTGAGGGTCAGCAAACAAGTTCTGGGTCTCATGTCCCCTAAGCAGGAGGTCTTAGGGTGTCCAGAAGCCTCAAAGGTCTGCTACCAGCCCCAAGACAAATCAGAGGGGGCTCTGCTGTTCCCTGACAGTCCTGGGGTCTCCTACCCCAGGCTTTCCACATCCACACCTTTCTGGGGCCACTTCCTCTTGCCTGGCCGCCTCCCCATCCCCAGCTCCATCTGAGGGCCCTCTCCTCCGTCCTAAGCAGACAGGAAGGCTCTCCCAGCCCTGCACCCTGCTCCCCCTACCCGTACTCCCCCCAGGGAAGGTTCTTCCCCCCCACCCTCAGTGCTCCTCAGGGAGCCCCTCCATCCGCTGGCCCCTCCTGGGCCTGGCATCCTGCCCTTGCTGCAGCATGTCCATCAGGTGGAACCAAAACTCACCCAAACGCCCATTCAAGGATGACCTTTTGCTTTACCCACATATTCTTCGGGCTTCTAGGTCTGTAAATAGCCACTTCCCTTAATGCATTTAACGTGTGATTTGATTTATAAGAAACAGACTTGATCACAGCTGTTGCAGGCAGGGCCCAGGGAAGCTGGCTGCCCAGGGTGGCGGTGTGGGTAGGGCAGTTCCCAGGGTCCTGCTTCCCAGCCACCTTCCACCAGGACACCGGATGCCTCGGCGGGCAAGCAGGCAGGGACACAGCTAGCAAGGCCCAGGGCTGGGAGTCCCCTGGCCCCCTGAATCTGCTTATATCTTCCAGTGGCTCCCCAGCGGTTCCCCAGCGGCTCAAGAGGAAATCCAGATTCTCGCTGGTATCCCAGGTTCCACGGGTGCTGACTTCCCTTCACCCCTCCTTCTATACCCCTTGACTACAGGCCTTGACAGACCCTTCCCTTTGCCCGGGACATTCCATGCACACCCCCTGTAGGAGGAGAACTTAGCATCCTTCGAGTCTCAGCTTGGACGTTACTTTTCCAGAAGCCTCTCCTGACCACCTCAATGATCCTGCACGCCTTTACCATGAGATCTGTCATCTGTCACCCTGCTTGCTGGCGGGGTCTCCACTACACTAGGCTCTGGGAGGCAGAGGCCACATCTCCCGCACCGGGGTGTCCCCAGTGCTGTGCAAAAACGTGTGTGTGTGTGTGTGTGTGTGTGTGTGTGTGTGTATGAGATCAGGAGAGTGGGCCTGACGCTTCCCACCACCTGCTCTCCATTTCCTGTCCGTGGGTGGCTGTGCATGTTTGTGCTTATGTCTGGGGCCAGGGAGGGTGAAGTCACATCATGTATTTCTCAAAAAGCAGCTGTACAAAAAGCATCAGAAAATCCACAAATGACTTCCTTTGCCTCAGGCCTACATGTGCTCAGTACCACCAAATGCCAGCCTACAAGGGGCCCCCAGATAATGCACTCGCCCACATTTACTGAGCACTTGTGGTGTGCCAGGTGCTGTACTGAGCAATTTACATGCTGACCCGGGTGAATCCTCGCACCGCTTCTGGGAGGCAGGTTCTATTTCCAGCAGCCTTGTTGCATCAGGGTGGAAACTGAGGTGCCGAGAGCTCAAGCATGGTGCATGGAACTCGGAACCAGGCTGACGGGCTGCAGAGCTTGAGGCCGAACCGTCAGGAGCCGCACACCCCCTCTCAGTGCATGTGGGGTAAAGGTAGGTGGTGGAGAGGTATCTGTATCTGCTCTTGGACATGGGGCAGGAGGAGCCAAAGAGGCCCCCAGGCGCACCCCTGTGGCCCGGCAGCTGGGAGCTGGCCCAAGGCCACAGAGCTGGGGCACGAGAAACCACTTCTGGGGGGTGGGGTTGGCGGGAGGCTGCCCCCACAGGCGGGGAGCACCAGGCCATTAGAGAGGTGGCTGGGAGGTCGAGGGTAAGGACTGGTCATGTAAGGGGGACCCCAGGGAAAGGGGAGGGTCCAGGTTCCCTGCCCCAACCAAGGGGGGAGCCACAGGGAACAGAGACACGTGGAGAAGCGGCTCTGGCTTCTTGGCCCTGGACTGGGTGACACAGACGTGGGTGAGACCCGTGGGGAGGTGACTGCAGCAGCGTTTATCTTGATTTTGATGTTGCTCTTTTCCTCCCAGACTCATCTGGCCATTGCCGACCCTTTTCTATGGGTCCCCGCCGGAAGGTGCTTTAGGCTTGTGTCGGGCTTTCAGGCCTTGCTTGGGCCGGTCCCTGTTGGGTGGACTTTTACCCATGAAGGGACAGGTAACTCTGGGGATTTGATTTGGAAACTGTATCGTTTGTCTTTTCTATATTGCACTCTCAGTGTATTAAAGTTCCTTTCCATGAAAGGTCTTACATGTTTTGTCTCGATGCGGCAGATGGCAGAACCTACTTACAGTGGGCAGGTTTGGGGGTTCTGGAGTACCCCTCTCCCTGCTCAGTAACAGGCTCAGGACTTGCTCAGAGAGGGGTCAAGTTCTTCCCTGGGAGCCAAGGGGAGGTGTGGGGGGTGCTCAGTCGTTGTTCCCCAGAACACAAACACTTTCCTGGCTCCTGCAGGGCCCAACCCACCCCTCACCGCCTCCTCCCCCCTTCTCCAGAGAACCCCATCTCCTGCCTCAGCCTGGATGAGCACTGGGCTTTCCCCCTGTTCTCCCTGCAGTCCCCTTAGCCAAGAGGACAGACCTTTCTTTCACACCTTGAAAGAAGGGTAAGAGGCTCGGAAGGGTAAGAGGCTGTGTAGAGAAGACGGCCTGGCCGCCACAGGCATTAAGTGGGGTACTCAGAAGGGCCGCCTAGCCCTGCCCTCTCCACCAACCTAGCCCGCACCCCTCAGATGAAGGAGAAAGTCCCTTCCAGGCCTTTCCCGATTCTGTCTGTCCTTTTCCGATTGCCCCAGATTTCATAGCACGGGGCTTTGCTACTCTTATTCCTAAAGACTCAGGCTCAAGGCAGGAAGGGGCTTGTCTCAGGCTGGGACGTCACTGCCAGGGCCGGCCCAGAGCGCAGCAGGGTGCTGGACGCAGACACAACCAGGGCCCTGGAGACCCTCCCCCGCCCTGCTGTCCCCTCGCCTGGGGGCAGGGGTGGCGAGGGGTGGGTCTTGCAGGCTGTACTGTTCCAGCCTTGGGTCTCTGGGTGCCAGGGCATCAAGTGTGTCATCTCACTTGATCCTACCACCACCACCTCCCCAAGGGGTCTCTATGGGTATGTCCATTGTACAAAGGAGGAAGCCAAGGCTCAGAGAGGTTAAGTGAGGTGCCCGAGGCACACAGTCAGGAAGAGGAGGGGCAGAATTCAGACCGGGCAGCCTGATCCCAGGGACGGTCCCCACAAATGCTCTGTGGTGTCCAGGCCAACTCAACCCTGGCCTCTTTTTCTCATGCCTTCTCCCCTTCCATCTCTGCTCCACCTGCCATGTCCGGGTGGTAACCAGGTGGGTGACTCCCTCCTCTGGGAGGTCGCGCTGGGCCACCTCCCCTGCCTCCTTACAGAGACCACAGCAGAGGCCAGCACGAGGAGCGCCCCCCCACTGGCCAGCGGGGGGAGGAGGGGAGAGGAGGCTGACCACAGGGCACCCATGATAAAGGAGAGCTGGGAGGGATGTGAAGATTTAGCCCCCACCAGTAGGGTCCAGAGGGAGCGAGCAGAGAATGGGGGAAGTAGACTCAGATGGGGGTGCCAAGGAAGCCCACGGGGAAGGTCACCGGGACATGGGGTGCAGCCAACCAGCAGAATGTCCAGGTGGGGGAAGGCAGGAGGCAGGGAGAGTCTGGGAGGGGCAGGGAAGGACAGGGAGGGGCTGGGAGGGACAGGGAGGGACAGGAGCCCATCCATGCTGGTAGAGGGACCCTCTTATCTGGACAACGGGGAGCAGAGACAAGAGGATGTGGCAATGGCTGGATGTCCAGTGAGGGGCCCTGGCAGCTTGGCAACCAACTGGCAAATTTGAGCTACTGTTGTGGGTAGGACAGTCTAGAAGGCACATCAGGTCCGGTGCAGGGACCTGTCCGGTGCTGGGAGCAGGGCCTCCTCCAGGGGCCGGCGCCTGCTTCTCAGCCTCCCAGCCTGACCGGGGGCTTGGGGGAGGGGGAGAGCCCACCAACGTGTGATGCAGAGTAGATGGTGGGGCGCGGCCTCTTGGTGACCTCAACACTGGCACTGGGCCTGGAGCTGGCGGGCAGGAAGAGGCCCTGGGTTTAGCTGCCCAGGGCAGCCATGGAGTTCAGATGCCACACAGCAGCCCCAGGCCAGGCTGGGCTGGCCCCAGGGCCAGGCTGGCCCCAGATGCCAGTTGAGGGCTGCCAGAACCACGGTCTCCTGGTTCCCTGCGTCCTGGGAGGAAGAGCACCTCTGTCCTGGGGAGACGGCTACCATCATCGTGACCCAGTTTCCCAGAAAGCATGAAGGGAAAGCAGCAGCTTGTCTGTGCTCCAGGAAGCCAGGACCCCCCAAGCTCAGCCTGGCCCAACTCCCTTATCATACCTGCAGGTAAACTGAGGTGGAAAGAGCAGGGCCTCACCTAGGATTTCAGAGCAGGGAAGGCAGAGATACGCAGGCTGTGGAGGTGGGCAGCAGAGTAGTCTCAGCCAGCCCGCCTCATGACGCACACCCGGTGCCAGATCTACGCTGCCTGTCCACGCCGTGGCCCTACTCACCGTGGCTGTCTGCTGCTGCGTGGCCTGGGCGGCAAAGCGGGCCACGTGGTTGACGATGGGAGAGAAATTGGTGGGCCCGTAGAAGCGGATGTGAGGCAAGCAAGCTGTGTACGCTTGGGCAATGCCGTCCACGCCTGCTCGGGGAGATGATTCTGGGTCAGCCCAGTCTTCCAAGGCCCTGTGCACCCCCCATCCCAACTGCCGACCACACCTCTATTTCCTGCTCCCCCAAACCCCCCTGCCATGCCAGCGTGGGCCCTGTAAGACCGGACGCTCCCAGAGGGCAGGGCCAGGGGGAAATAAAGCCAAAGGCCCTGAGTTTGAACTCTGCCCTCGCCAGTGGGGGTTCTGGGCGGGCTGTTTAACTTCTCTGAGTCTGTTTCTTTAGCATTTGCACTTGGGGGTCCGGCAGCCTCTTCCCGGGGTGGGGCTTGGCTAAGCCAGCAGGGACACCTCGGGGCAGTGGGAGGCCATCTGGAAGGCCACACTGGCCACACTGTGACTTCTGCTCAAGGCTGGGAGGGAGGTGAAGTGGGCTGCAAGTTGGTGCACATAGTGGGTGCTCTGGAAACAGCCATCAGCGTGAACCTGAGAACATCCCGCTGCCCCGGGGTCCTGTCTGGACCCCTGGCTGACTAGGCCCGTGACTGAGCTGAGCACGAGGACAACACATCTCTGGAGACCTAGTCCACAGCAGATCCCCAGCCCTGGGCCACACTTCTAGCAGGCAGATGCCACAGCTTCTGAGTCATAGCACTGTCCCCTGCGTGGTGAGCTGATGTATTTCCCTCCAAGGACAAGCTCAGCTCTGGGCATCCCCAGGGAAGCAGATGCCACAGCAAGACAAATCCTTGGCAGAAAGGTCTCCTGTGGCAGGATCACCCTCTTCCACGCCCACGCGAGCCCTTCTCCCACTCCAGCGGGGTCTGCACTGACTGAAACCCTCTCAGGCCCAGAAGTGGGGGTGAGCTGACACCACGCTCACTTCCTGTCCCTTTTGCTCCCCTTGGTGCCAAGGGCTGGGTCTCTCAGTGAGGGCAGGAGGGAGGTGAGAAGCAGGTGTCATGCCCCCTCGCCTCCTCCTGGTCTGCCCAGGCCTCTGTCAAGACCTCCCTCAGCCCTCGCCTGCTCACCCAGTGAAGGGAGCTAAGCAGCTCACACCGCCCTGGGGCAGGTGAAGCGGCAAAGGCCCAGAGAGGTGCAGTGATCTCTCCAGAGCCACACCGCCTGGAAGGGGCGGCAGCTGGCCTTGAACCCAGACCTTTCAGACTCCAAGCCAAGGCTTCTGTCTGCCATTCTGAGCCAGTGTGTGGGGAGGAGATGGCAGAAAAGGACAAAATCTGTACTTGTCCCTCTCTTCACCCAGATGGCTGGGTGGGAAGCCACTCACCTGAGCAGAAGGGGTTGGTGGGGTTGAAGTTGATGGCGAACTCATGGGAGACCTGAAATGCAGAGAAAATGCTCAGCTGCCAGCTTCCTGGGCCCAGACCCCGGGCCAGACCCACCTGGAGGACGCCTGCTGTCTACAGCCACCCCCACCCCAGCGGGCCCCGGTCAAGGGTATCGATCCTCCCACACTGCTGGGTCCCGCCCACGCAGAGCGGTCCCGCCATCTCACTTCATAATTGGGCGGGGGGTGAGGCCCTTCCACATCACCCCAGTCTCTTCTGGGGCTTCAGGGCTGCCAGTGCCAACCCACTACACGAGGCCCTGAGTGGGGAAGAGATGCCCCAGAGGAGTGGTTGAGGGCCCCTTGGCACCCTGTTGTCACCAGGGGGCGTGATTGGCGCCCCACAGCTTGGGCTGAGGGCCTCCCTCTCACAGGAAGCAGAGTGCCTGCAGGACGCTCCTCTTCTGCAGGCAGGTCACACTGGGGAGATGGACTGGGGCAGCGGGCGGCAGGTGGGGCTGGCGGCGGGGGACACAGAGGGCTGTGTGTTCCCCAGTCCTGTTTCTCTGCTTGCAGGCCCAGCCCCCCCGCAGCAGGCTGGCCCCAGCCCCCCCAGGGTCCTCCTGGACCCACAACCATCCTGCAGACACACAGGGGCCACGAACTAGACCTGTGGGGGACTCGTGGGGGCTGCAGGGCTCAGGTGGGGGTCCCTCCCGGTGCTGCTCCCCTGCAGCCTTGTGGCCCGAGTCCTCCCCGGCCCCTTCCATCCCAGCGTGCTTGCAGGCCTCCCTTCTCCTTCCTCACCATGACCCGATGGGGCAAGTCCTGCTGTTACATCGTTTTTCAGAAGGTGAGCCCGAGGCACAGAGTGGACTAGAACATTCCCAAAGCCACACAGTTTCTGAAGGGCAGAGCTGGAGGTGCACCTCGGTTAGGCAGCCGCCCGTGCTCCCCTTCCTGGCACCCGCTAACCTCAGGAGGCGACGAGGCCTGGGGAATGCCGCCGGGGACAGCGTTAGCCTGGGCACAGAAATCCCAGACGGGCCCTGTGGCTCTGAGGCAGTGGGGTGCTAGCAGGCCCTGCCATGCCCCACATCCCCATTTTTTAAAACTTTAAAAAAAATTTTATTTATTTATGCATACAGAACTGGGGTACAGGCCAGAGATGCGGAGGGTGAGACGATTCCCCAGAGACAGAGTGGGGAGCAGAACAGGCAGAGCGACGAAGTACACTGCTGAGGGGAGCAGCGGGCGGGTCAGGAGAGGTCTGCCGCGCCATGTGGGTCAGCTCCGGGGTGGGAATCGAACTCGTGCTGAAGTGGTTTTAGCTTCTCAGTGCTGCGCTTTAACCTGCTGCGCCACCAGGGAGGGCCGCATAATCGCATTTTACAAAGAGATCCCCAAGAAAGGACAATCAGGTGTCAAGGCCTTACAGCAGGACAGGCCTGAGAGCCAGGCCCCTTGGGCCTGGAGAGGGCCCTCACTTTTGACCTTGGGGAGCCCTCCTGGGCCCAGAGGGGAGGGTTCAGCGGGCGGGGCTCACTGATCTGTACCTGGCATGCTGAGACCCCTCCCCGTGCTGGGCCGTTTCTGGGCGGTTCTGCTCCTGCTCCCTCAGCTCCCAGTGCCTGATGTCCCAACCCAGAGGCCTTCTTCATCCAGTCCCCAGTCTGGGCTCCAGGTGTGGGGGCCGGAGGTCCTCGTTGCCATGGAGATTTCATGAGTCTCCACTGAGATTAAGAGGGGGGCTTGGACAGAGGGGGCTGAGAGGAAAATGGTTGCCAAGGAAACAGGTCTCCCTTGGGCCAACGACTTTCCGCAAAATCAGATGTTCGATTTCAGAGACTGAGGGAGAAAAGTCCCTTCCTGATGTGGGTGAGTGACCGTTCCACTTTCTGGGCCACCCCACCTCCTCTCTCCCCAGGTCTTCCCTCCTTTCTCTGGGGGAGGGCCTGGCCTGTTGGTCAGGAGGGTGCAGTTGTGTGTGGGGTCTCCCTCCCTCTGCCAACGCCTCTTAGTCACCTACTCCAGCACGTCCACTTCACAGATGAAAACACTCAGATTGGGGGGGGGGTAGGGAATGCCCAGGTCACCTGAGTGGCCACAGAGCAGGACCAGACCCAGAGGACAAGGGTCGGTGCTGCCCGTGAGGGCCCAGTCTCCTCTTCCTTCCCTGAGGTGCCTGGACTGGCTTCCTGGAGGCCACACCAAGCCAGGGGCCCCCAGGGGAATGGCAGGCCACAGGCCTTTGTCCTGGGGCTCCCTGCTGCCTTCTGACAACTAGTGGCCCCCTTCACCTCACCTGGCCCTGACTAACTCTGGCTCCTTAGGAGGGTCCAAGCCTTCATACCCAAGTCCCTCAGGTAATGTCCAGTGCAGGGGTCCCTTCTGGGCTCCTCTGGAGCAGCCCCAGCAAGGAACTGGAAGTGCATTCCAACCTCCCACTCTCGGTGAGCCGCCCCCAGGCCCGCCTCGCCCTCCCCCCCCCCCATCTGCTGAGGCCACTGGGCCTCGAGTTCATGCTCCATAAACAAGTACCACACACAGCAGTGTGCACAGGGGCCAGGCAGCCTCTTGGAGTGCGGCGCCCAGAGGGCCGTGTACATGAGCAAAGAGCACAGACGAGTGGCCAGAGTTCTGAGAGAGACTGCCTGGGGCCTTCGCCTGAGCCCTCCAGGGAAGGCCTCCGGGGGAATGATCTCTCGGCTGAGACATGGCCCAAGAGTCAGTGATAGAAGCAACAGGCTGGGGCAGGCAGGTGCAAAGGCCCTGAGCTGGAACCAATGAAAGAACGTTCACACGGTGAGCCAGCGTGAGGGGGACAGGCCGGGGGTGGGGGTGGGGCCGGGACCGGCAGGCTCCCCAGCCAGGGGTGGGGCCAGAGCATCTGCCCTTCGGGGCTGGTTCCAGCGTCCCTCCTGGCACTGCCCGGCACTCCAGCCTGGCCAAGCCCCGGCCTGGCCTCCCCAGCGTTGTCCTGTGACATTTCCAAGGAGGCTTTTGCACAAGAAAACATTTCATTCAGCCAGAGTTCTTTGAAAGCTGGCTGTGTCCTAGCAACGAACTCGTGCTGGGCCTAGCTGCACCAGCCGGCCCTGCCCCCAGAGGCCTCACTCTATCTGCCCAGCGCCCCAGCATTGGTCCCCAGATCCTGCTCTGAACTACAGGATGGCCGGGAGGCCCCAGAACCACTGTCTGAGATTCCAGGTGAAAACTGTCCTTCCTGGAGAAGAAGGCAGACACGACTCACTCTAGAAACAGCATGAGGCACAGCAGGGCAGACAACAGGGGGCACTGCCCGAGACCAGCGGCAAAATCAGGAGCTTCCCATCAGCGAGGGAACAAACTTGGGAGCTCGTCTGCCTGGGTGGAATCCGGGGCCTGCTCTAAGTCTGACTGTGGGCAAGTTACTGCTTCCCCACCTGTAAAACGGACAACTGCGGCCCTCCCTGGTGGCGCAGTGGGTTAAGGCCGGAGCCACCTCACGGGTTCGATCCTCGGGCCCAGAGCTGACCCACATGGCACAGCAGACCTCTCCTGTCTGCCCGCTGCTGCCCTCAGCAGTGTGTTTCAGTCCATCCACCTGTTCTGCTCCTGAACTCTGTCTCTGGTGAGTCCTCTCACTCCCCACACCTCTGGCCTGTACCCCAGTTCTGTAAGCATAAATAAATAAAATCTTAAAAAAAAAAAAAAAGACAGGTAAAACTCTCACTTAAGGTTGTTTCTCACTTTCCCGCCTCCATGGAGATCTCAGCCACCCTGTGTGGCACCCTCAGTCCTGGGCCAGGAGGCCCCACCTCCATCCCTCTGCCCTTCCTTGGGGCCCTCTGCCATGGCCTCTGCTGAGCCCACCCGCCACCTCCAGCCCATCCTGTTCCCCATCTCAGGAAGTAGCACCCCGACATACATGCCTGGCGGGAAGCTGGACGATCTCCTCATTCCACACCCACTGGGCATTTCCCTTCCACCTTCCCTTCTCTCATTCCCTCCATCCAGCCCACCCTCATCCCAGCTGTTTCCACAGCAGCCAGAGGGCCCTTCAAAAATGCCACTGGGCTATACAGAATACCCCTGGTGGGCCCTCCATTATTCTTAATGTGCCACCCTGCAGAACTACCCGACCCTCCCACCGTCCAGCCATGCATCTCTCCATTCTGTCCATCTTCCATGGGGAGTCCCTCACCCCTACCCTCCCGCTGCTCCTTCAACAGGTCCTGCACCTCAGCCTCCCAGACCCTGTCTCTTGAATACTCTCTCTGCCCTTGCCCTCCCCCAGTCTGCAACCTCCTACTTCCCCTTTCCTTCTGAAATTAGACCTTGCCTCCTCCAGGAAGCCTTCCCAGATGCCCCAGTCCCTCGATGGGCTCGCCCAGACCCATGCTGTGCCATAGTAGCACTGATGACCCTGCTTATGTGGACTGTTGCCAGGGAGAACACGGGATGTCCCATTACTTTAAATTTCAGACAAACACAGGGGAATTTTTCAGGGTAAGTATGCCCTAGCCAATATCAGGACATATTTACACTTTCGAATGCACCTGCAATCCAGACTTAGCTGGGTGTCCTATATTTTTATTTGCCAAATCTGGCCCCTGGCCTTCCCCTCTTGACTTGAGTCCTCTCCTGCCCCTGCTACATCACAGTGCCTGTTGAGGTGTGGGCTGAGACATGATTGTGGGCTTGGGGTAAATGGAGAGAAGGAAGACAGCTGGGCTCCAAGCGACAGACCTGTCCAAAGTGGACTCCAGAAAGGCCACATACACAAGGCCATTGCATGGATTTCGCCGAGACCCCAGAAAGTTCTCTCCTTGGCATGACCATGCCTCTGTCTCACATGTAAACTGGTCTCGCGAAATGCCAGGAGAGTCAGTCTTCACTCACCTTCCAGTCTGGGGGTAACTGAGCCCCAAACCCCAGAGCCGGAAACATCTTATCACTAAATTAGAGAGAAGAGAAAAAAACACCCTGAGACAAGTGGACACGGCCTGCAGCACCCCTGTTCACCCTCCCAAGGCCTCCCCAGGGCTGGGCCCGTTCTTCCTTGCTCATCTCCAAGGCCAGAAAGAAAAAGCTCACAATTTCTAGAGAAACTTCTGTTGGGATCATCTCCAGATCATCTCTGGGTACCTGACTTGACCCCGTCTATACCTTTGGCAGACATTGCTAATCAATCACAGCTGTCCTAACCAGTGGGTCTGGGGGAAGCATCTAGATCCTTCTCAAACTGGGGCCATTAACCGCAGCAGACGGAAGTAGAAGGTACTGGCTGCCACTCAACCTCTTTTCTGGCTGGGAGTAATTCTCCTAATGTGAGAGCCACAGCTTGCACTCAAGGCCCTTCATCACCCAGTCTTCCCGCCACCACTCCCCCCAGTCCTGGCCACTCACTGTTCCCCAAACACAGCGCTCCCTTCTTCATGTTCCAATGGTTGTCCTGTTGCACACCCATCTGAACAACCTGTCCTCAACCTCTTCTTGTGGCAAATTTCTATTTGTCCTCTAAGGCCCAATTCAAATGCCCTTTTCTCATGGATTTCCCTGAGACCCCAAAAGTTCTCTCTGTCTCACATGTAAACTGGTCTCCGGAAATACCAGTGACTTCTTCCTGTCTTCTTTCTCAAGTGGGAACTCCCTAAAGATAGGGATCATGTCTTGTTTGTTTATTCATTCCACGTATATTTATTTAGGATCCTCCTGGCTGCTGTGTTTGAATGAAGGAAAACTGTCAGAAGCCAGAGCGGAAGCACAGAGACTAGTGAGGAGGTTGCTAGAATGATGGGTAGGAGGTGATGGTGGATCAGACAGGCTGGCAGCAAGGGTTGTGGAGGAGAGATTGGATTCAGGTTACGTTTTTAAAGGATTTGCTGGAAGAAAGTTAGAGAGATGAGGGAAAGAAGTGAAGGTTTTGGGGGAGGGCGGGGGTGCCACTTACAGAGATGAGAATGAGGGTGTGATGACAGAACTGGGGCAGATGTCCACCACTCACTGGAGCCTTGCTAAGAGTGAATGACAAGGAGAGGGCTCAGTGAGGGGCTGAGTGGGCAGCTGGTTATGAGGGCTTTTAGAGCAGCAAAGCATGCTCCTCTATTCGACCATTTAGACAGGGACTTTCACCTCCCTAGTTCTGTGTGCCATTATCTCTGTTAATGCGACCTCGGATCACAGTTACCTTTTGGGCCCTGAGCCTCCTGGGAGTCAGATACTAATCCGTAGGTCCACTCTCTAGGAGTCCAAATACACACAGGATTCCTAAACATGTTCTTGTTGCTGTCAAATTTCAGACACCTGTTACTTCCCACCCTGTTCTCCATGTGTTGTCTTCCTTGTTACAACCTGTAGGTTCCAACAAATACCATCTGTGATAATGACACTACCACCTTCAAGTGACTTCTGGATCCTGGAAGACTCTCTTGACTTTATATTTGATCCATCCTACTGGTGGCCACATGGCTTTTCTTAACTGACTTTCCACTGTCCCCCCAACTCAAAGATCTTTAAGAAGCATGGTCATGAGAGGAGAGCCTGCATATGTTGGTGCCAAGCCAAGGGCTCAAAATGCCTATGTTCCAGGTTTCTTGACCTGTGTGACTCCATTTCCCCAGTTTGAAAGGGAAGGCTGTAGCAATAGCAACTGGTTTTTTTTTTTTAATTTATTTATTTATGCCTACAGAACTGGGGTACAGGTCAGAGGTGTAGGGGAGTGAGCAGATTCGCCAGAGACAGAGTTGGGAGCAGATGAGGCAGCTGTACTGAAACACACTGCTGAGGGGAGCAGTGGGCGGGTCAGGAGAGGTCTGCTGTGCCATGTGGGTCATCTCCCTGGCTGGGGATCAAACTCATGCTGCAGTGGCTGCGATAGCTTCATAGTGCTGTGTTTTAACCCACTGAACCACCATCGTGAGCCCAATAGCAACAGGTTTTATCTTCTATCTGGACTCATGTCTCCACTGGCTACTTGGTATAATGTATGGAGAAGATCTGAGTGTAGATCCAGGCTGAGAAGGTAGGAGTTCAGTAATTGATTAGCAATGTCTGCCCAGGTACACAAACATATATGCTATGATGCTAGCTATCCCTAGATTTGATGATCTCTGGGTTCCTTCTCCTTTCCTAGGCTGGAGGGAGCCCTAACTGACATTCATAGTTTCTCCCCCAAAACCTCTTACCTGTCATAGTCCTGAATAATCTGTCCAACAGCCCAGATGGCTGACAGATATTCATTGGTGCCCATGGGGTTGATATAGTGCAAAGAGGTAGGGTCCAGGGGATTCCCATTGGAGGCTGTGAAGTCTATTCCAACCTGCAGAGTGGCAAAAAAGGTCACGCGTATGGCCAGAGATATTCTGGCTTTCTACGTGGCCGCCAGGCAACAGAAAGGCTGATGAGGCACGGAAAGCCCACTCATTTCCCAATCCCAATCCACCCTTCTACCTCACGTTCTGAACCTAGAAACGGTGACTGCATCCTTCCTCTGGCTTCGAGGCCATTTTTGGCCCCCCATGGCCCAAGCAGAGAGCCTACTGCCCGGATGTGATACAAAGCCAATCGGCAGCTCCAAATTCCTCTCCTCCCACACTCATGCTCCCACTTCTGGGGCTTTAGTCATGACATTTCCTCAACTAAAGAGCAGTATCGTCTTTACTCCCCCACTGGGTTCTCCAGTTTTCAGACCCAATTCAGACGCTGCTGCCCCACGGAAGCTTTCCCAGGCAGCTTTCCCCCACCCACGGCCTCTCCCCCTTGTCCCTCAGACCATAAGGGCCCCAGGACCTAGGGCTGCCTGTGGGCTGTACCCACCTCCCCAGAGGTGGGGTGTTCGCCGGAGGCAAGACGCACCCCGGGAGAAGCCAGGCTCGGGGCTGGGCACAGGGCAGTGGTGGGTGCCCCACAGGATGGCAGCTGGGGGTGGGCAGGGGTGTGGGCTCCACTTGCTCTCTGAGCCCCAAGGGGCTTCCAGCTCAGCTGTGGGCAGACCAGACTGGCCAGAGAGGGAGGATTAAGAGACTTTGGAACTCAGCCACTGCGGGGTGGGCCGGCTCTCTGAGAGCACGTGACATGGCTAAGTGCTCGAGGGACTCCTGTCGGGCACGGCCTGAATCTGGCACACCCAAGGGGCTCAACAGCTATTTGCTAACGGAACACATACACACAGCAGCGTGGGCTCTCTGCGGGGGAGTGGGCAGAGGTGACCATTGGGTCAGAGGTCATAAGGCCAGTCTCCTGCCTCCACGGCTCCTGCGGGTGACCTAGCGGGTTTAAGTCTAGAGGTGGTGACAGCAAGTGGCGAGGCTTCTGCAGAGGTGGGCGGAGCCAGGGACCCCAGCAGGTTCTCCCTGCGCCCGCTTGAGGATTTTCTTGGGGCGAGGAACAACAGAGGCAATGCTGCAGAAAACCTATGGGGTGCGTGCCCCCGACCACAGCGGAGTGATCACCCCCTCTCAGGTGTGTTTATGACCACCTGCTGCTTGCCCGGCGGGGAGCGATCTGCGGTGGCTGCAGCAGCGGCCAACGAGGCCCGAGCAGTCAGCCACTGACAGTCTAGAGGGGCCACGGGCAAGAAATAAGGTAATTCCGGGGAGTGCCAAGTACTCTGAAGATAGCAGGGCAGGAGCTGTGACAGGAGGAACAGGATGTGGGTGCCCTGGGGAGTAACCAGGGCCAGGGTGGATGGAGCCAGCTGAGCAGGGAGGGGGGGTGGCTCATGTGGCCAGCGAGGAGGAATTGTTTTTTTTTTTTTTCCTTCTGAAAGGCTCTTGCTTGTGAGATGCAGGAGAAGGGCACCCCTACACAGGCCCAGCCACTGATGCCCGTCCTCTGAGCCAGATACAGCCCAGCCTGGGGAAGTCCTCCCCAAAGTCTATCCCAAGGCCCGCCTGCTGCAGGAGAGCGTGGTAGGTGCGTGGGGTTAGAGCTTACGGTGAACATGAGCTGGCAGCCTCCCAGGATGTAGTCCAGGAAGGAGTAGTCCCGGTTTATCTGGAAAGAACCAGAAGAGTCAATGGGTCCCACCTGGCACCCTCCACTTGGCCCGCCTCCCCACCATGATCTTTGGGGGCCACTGCCCTGTGCTCTGAAAACTCAGTAGGGTTAAGGATGCTAAAAAAGGCTGATGAGCTTTCTGTGATTGCAACAAAACCCAAACCTCCCTAATGAAGCCTTCACAGCAACGGTTCCCAGTGG